AATATGGCTCATTCTGTGTCTGTGTTTAATGCATTTTGGAGTTGGACATTTTAAGACACGCATCAGTATAGAAGAGTATGCCAGAAAGATGACCAGGATATTTGGGTATCAGAAATCCAATGTAATGACCAATGAAGGGAAGATGTCACTAGAGAAGATTTCCTTGGGACTGATGTGACTTTGAAAGAATTCAGTACACACCCCCCAAATATTTGGAGTGGGCTTTCTCTTTTTCTCTGAAGAGCAGTGAGTGAAAATTCTAGAAGCTCTGAGATTTGAAAGAAATTTGAGGGAAAACAGTAGCAATTTGAATTGTTCAACATGGAAACCACTTGGAAATCCCTTCACATTCACTCAAGCATGATTAAAAGTTAGCTGGCCACTATCACTTATATCCTCTCCTGGCTCTTCTGCCTCTCATCCACCTCTCTTCTGGTCCTATAACTCCAAAGGTTAGCTCCGAGCAGAGGGTTCCAACTTGGTGTCTCCAAGCACCGACCTCCTGTGCTAAGCACCAGTCCTGCTCACTGGCTTACTTAGTGTTTTCCCGTGCATGTCTCAAAGACATTTCAGATTCACATGGCCGAACGTCTTGTAGAGCCATAGCAGAACCTGCTGTGCCTTCCTTCAGTCCTCAACATCTTGGCAAATGCCATTATCATTCACCTAGTTCCTAGGCCAAAAACTGAAAAACCTTCTTTAATAATTCTTCCTGTCTCCCTGCTCACACATTTGGCCCATCAACATGTTAGGAGAGTCCCCTCCAGCCCAGCTGCAGTATAGACAGGCTGTTCACCTGTCTGTTGCCCTGCCTACCAGGTAACCCCAGACATGGCCATCTCACACCAGGGCTACTACTATTTCCCTACTTTTTCACACAGCCACCATTATAATCTTAAAATATGAACCATATCATTCCCTGCCTAAAATTTGTCAGTGACTCTCCCTCCACATCACAGAACAGAATCTAGCCCTTGTCACCAGCCCTGAGTTCAAACAGCACGTCTTGAGCCAGCCTCTGACACCTCCTCCCTCTAAGCACACCCGCCACACCTCAGCTTGTCCTCTGCACTCCCTGCTTCATCTCCCTAAAACCTTCAGATCTCTGTGTGAGAGTGCAGGCTCCTTCCTGTGCTCTGGGCATCTGTTTCTCGGATCAGTGGATTGAAATTAGGCACATCCACGTTCGTGCTGCGCCCCATCCCTTCCTATCTGAAAGCCTGTTTTTGTTCTGTGCTGTGGGTCACTATCTGAACTTCCCTTGTCTGCTTGCTGATTTCCTGTCTTCTCAACCCCTACAAGAGTGAAAACTGTGAGAGTGGGCACTTCCTCCCTTTTGTTAAGCACTGAGTTCCAGAGTGCAGCACACTGCCTGGCACAGAGAAGCTTTCAATTATACCCCGCATGGTGCACTCATAAAGCTTCAGCTTAGCAAAAGAAAAGCTTCGGGCTTGAACGTATCCTCAGGCCGTGCAGCTAGACCATGAGCATCAGTGATTTGAGGAGCCTCAGTGAAGTCTGATCCACACCCAAGTGTTAAGATGAGTCTTGAAGACCAGAAAAGTTCATCACCTGAATGAGCAGCATAGACTAAGACCCTGATTCTTATTTCCAGTTCAAGGTAGTTCAACCACACTGTAGGTGAATGTAGGTTCCTTAACCTAGAGCCGACCCTTCTTATGTTTGTCTTCCTGGCGTAATAACTACGCATTCTCTTCAGAAGTACCCCAGATCAAGTGATCAGTCAACATGTTCACCGAGCTAAAAAGATGCTTTAAAGGATGTAGCTGTCTTCAGTCATTCATTATCCAAATTGTGCTTCCTTTTCATTGTTTTATACAAGAATGTTCAGAGACACACATACATAAAACTGTGTCTTCTAAAATATTTAGCTATTTGGTCACTTAGCTGTTTAAAGGAATACATGATGTGTGTAAATACCGAATCATTTCTCTGATGTGAGAAATTAAAGGTGTAAATTAGGACCAAAATACATAATAGATATTGTGAAATGGGAAGAAAACATTTAAAGGGAAAGGGAAAGCAGGGGGCAGGCAGGGGAAAGGAAAGAAAAAATTGTAAGTAAGAAGGTAAAAATGGAAGCACAGCTTATGTATATAGCAGAGTGAAGGAGTTGAACGGAGGGCGGGGACTGGTAAGGAATAAGAATCAAGATATATCATGTACAGGTACAAATTCTCAATGATGAATGTGACCATATGGTATACCTAAATGTACCAATAAACTCAATAAAAAGTTTTACAGAAGCAATACATGATGTACATATAAAAGGATTTCATTAATAATATTTGCAACTTAACCCCTTCATGTTATCTTTTCAGGATCCAGGCTAAAATCCCAGGTGCCAAAAGGCACACCGAGTAGGTGGCTGTCCCGGCGGGGACTGGACACACACAGGGATGTCTGAGTGGTAACAGCTCTCGTCTTAGTCATGGCTGCAAATCCATTGTTTTTCCCCAGTACCATGATCTTAGAGGCAAACTTTGAAACAGCTATTTTTAGGCTGTTCCTGTACTCTTAGGATATTTCAGTCACTTGTGTCAAGCACTAAAGTGTAGAGAAAAGTGTATTAGATGTGGTTTTTAATTTTGTGTTGCTAACAAAAGTGCATGATGGTGAGAGCCCGTGTCATTGTTCCTTCCCCGGTGCCCCTCCGCTCTGCAGTGCTCCTGTAGCTTCTCATGTCCCTGCGGCTAGGCCTTTCCTGCCAAGTGCTGACGCAATAGTGGAAATCGCTTCTATGTCCTTTGGTTGCTGGTTGGGTTAATCTTTAATAATACTATATAGAATTGTAGACTGATGTTTTAGCTTTTCTTTTTTCCAAAACACACACGTAAAAATTTAAAAACAACAACGACAATACAGTCCACCGTACTTAAGGCAATCAGTTTTGTATAACTCAAAATAATTAAATAAATGAATAAAACCTAAAATGAACCCACGTTACTTTTGCTGTATGGGATGGATGGGCTGATGTACATGTATGGTAACTAAAAAGTGCCAGCATGTTAACTTTATTACGATTTGTATTACTTCCTCTGTAGTTCCTAACGAACTTAATTATGACTCTGGATATTTGCACTTATGTACTTGATACTGAATGCATAAATAAATGTTACTAAATGTAGAAAGTCCCCTCTGTCTTCTCATGATCTTTACTAGGAGACACAACGACCATAAGAAGTGAAGTCACTTAAAGACAGGCTAGGAGAACTAAAGCTACATATTTCCCTTTCTCCTGCCTCGGGAACCACAGGGCCAACCTCAGCGTGGTTTACGGCTCCTCTGGGTTTTCAATACTTATCGCTAGAGTAGTAAATGGAATACTGTTCATATTGTGTTCTACTGTGGGCTGCAGGCAGAAATACTCAACAGTTTTTTACAACACGATAATGGTGCAAGTCCTTACCTAAGCTTGTTGTGACCGTGTGCAGCACGACACCGGCATAAAGCAATCATAATGGCTATGAGCTATGCTTTTGGTAGTTACTGAGCATCCACGGATTCTGAACAGGGTTGGGAGACAGAGATGGCAGTTCCTGCCTTCGCTTTGCGGTGTTCTAACCATGGTGCTCTGCTTTTTCAGTACACTTCTGGGTTGGAATCCAAAGTCAAAGATGAAGAGGTAAAAGTGAATGAAAGGAGTAACGGTAGGAGAAAAACGTAAGAGGAAGAAAACAGCAAAGCACACAAAGCTGTCCTTATCCCGGTGGCCTGAGTGGATGAGTTTCACACAAAGCAGTGTGACTGACAGTCCCAGGGTCAGCTTGACGACTGCGCCGATGGCCAAATTTCCCGTTTTGGTCTTTGGGGCAGAGGGCTGGTGGCTACACGGAAATGCTAAGCAGATCGAGGGTAGCCCAAAATCACAGGGGTGGTGCACATTCACACCACAGAGGATTCTCACGGAAGCTGAACGTCAAGCTTGGGTCCTACCAGATAAAGAGGTTCACCAGATGATAGAAAAAGGCATGACACGGGCCAGGGATTTAGCTCTGTGGTGCCGCTGCCTGCTTTGAAAGCACAAGGTATGGAGTTTGATCCCCAGAACCACCGCCTCAAAAAAAAGAAAGAAACAAAGAGAAAAGCATGACGCAGGGAGCCAAGATATGCAGGTGTGTCTTATACGTGTGCATACACAGACTATGGTGAGGGGCGGCCTGGTCAGGGCTGTGGGGGTCTTATGGTGGGAATGTCAGTGCCAAACGTCCGTCACGCCAGGAAGAAACTGGAATTCCCTGAGGGTTGGGGCTTTGTCCTTTAAATCTCAGACTCACACACAATGCTGGAGAGTAGAAGAATACAGGAGACAACTGTAATGAAATTCTAAAAGCATGCAGGTACTGAGTGACTGGTCTCCCAGCACAGCCACAGTGACAGCAGGAAGGAAATACTCACTTGTTCCTGACCCCTTAATAGTAGCCCGACAGGACAAACACCTAGCACGGGTAGGGCTGGAGGTGGGGCTCGGTCAGATGTGGGCTTTCATGACCAAAGCTGTCCTGAAGAGTGAGCACCTCCTTAAATTCTGAATCCAGGCAGCTTACTTGCTTCCCCTGAGCCCCGTTAACAAGGCTGGCTGAGCAAGAGGATATAAGACCGCTTGCTAGGTCAGGGACCAGAAGAACTGGTGTGAGGAGGGAAGAGAGTTTAGTTTGGTGCTTCATTTTTTGTTTGTTTCTTCCCTAAATACAAAAGATCACTCAGGCTGCTGATGTAGCTCAGTGGTAGAGTTGTGTATGCAAAGCCCGGGGTTCAATTTTCTGCACCAAAAGAGAAACAAAGAAGAAGAGAATTTTTTTTTTTTTTTTGTCTGTGTGTGTTTCAGTTTCCAGCCTTTGATATAAAGTCTTTTCTTCAATCTTCCACACTGGCACTCAGGGCGTTTTTCTTCCTCCTATTGGTCCAGACATCTTTTCCCAACCACCTGGAAGACGTAATTTCCTAATTTCCCTTTTTCTGGCATTGGGGAAGAGATTCCCAAGAAAAGCTTCAAGGTTACAAAATGATGGGTCTGGGCGTAGATTCTTAACAACTGGACCTTGGACCACAATGCCATTGCCTGCCATGTTTGACCTCTACTGAGAAGAATAGTTCTAAACCAAGAGCATTTTCTCCAGGCCTTTTAAAAACTTTTTCTATATAAAATGTGTCTGCTGTTTTTGTTTTCCTCTTAACAAAAAGTTACCTGTTTCTCAGTTTTGTTCTTCAGTTGCTAAAATGAGCGTTGTATGAGAAGCATCTAACCAACTGATTCATTCTATAATTTAGCCCCTTGATTTATTAATCAGTAAAGTTATTTTGAGACTACCAAATCTTTGAGCCAGACCCTGTGCAGGGTTCTTTGAAAACTTTATTTCTAGTCAGAATTACAAAGTTCTTCACGACTCATACTTCGGTTTTTTATTGGAGAAATGAGGAAACTGAATTTCCACATCTGTGCACAGCAAACAGTCAGGCAAAGACCTGGATTCCTGACCGATTTCAAGGTGGAGCATCTCCCACTGAAGCACAGTGCTTGCCAGGGTTTTCTACTCCTCCCCTGCAATCTCGCATTGGGAAGTGAGGCTGCCTCAGCCGGACGGTGTGATTGCTAACACAGGAGCCCACTGGAGGGTATTACGCAGCAGCGAGGGTAGAACACAAGGGAGCCACCAGTCTTAACCAGCAGAGTATCTTTCTAAAGATGCAATTTTTCTGCTTGGACCTTCATGGTGCTTAAATCCAGGCATTATGTAATAATCTTGCCATGAATAGAGGTGGAAAAGAAAGCATGCAGAGCTTACTGAGCTTTATGTATGGCACCGTACGTATCTCTCCTGACCTGGAAACACTCATAGTGTGGCAGGGAAAGAAACTACAGGGTAACGGTGAAGCCACAACGACAATTCACCCCATTTCAGGGGCTCATTTACCCGGCAGAGCTGAGAATCAGAAGTTCTCATGGAACACTGAGCTTTATGTATGGCCCCGTACGTATCTCTCCTGACCTGGAAACACTCACTCATAGTGTGAAGGGGAAAGAAACTACAGGGTAACAGTGAAGCCACAGCGACACAATTCACCCCATTTCAGGGGCTCATTTACCCGGCAGAGCTGAGAATCAGAAGTTCTCATGGACTGAAATCACAGTTAATTAACAGTTCCTTTCAACAACAGAAATTAAGCAATAATTCTGCGGTAACAAAATTCACTTAAAAAGCCAGGCGAGGTGGCACATGGCTGTAATCCCAGCACTCGGGAGGCTGAGGCAGGAGGATCACTGTGTGTTCGAGACCAGCTTGGGCAACACAGTGAATTCCAGGTCAGTCTCAACTACATAGTGAGACCCTGTCTCAAAAAAAGCAAAACAAAACAAGACAAAAAACAAAGTAGCAAAACAAAACTCACTTAGAGCTATCCTTTATAAACAACTTAATGTGATGATTTGAAATGTCCTTCAGGGTTTTTGTAGTGGTAGGGAACATCCTCTTGCCCTACTGGTTTGAGAATTACTTTTTTTTTGTACCTGGGATCGAACTCGGGTCCCTGTGCTTGCAAGGCAGGCAGTGGAACCACTGAGCTACATCCCCGGCCCTGTTAGTGGCTTGGATAGAACGGTGGCACAGCAGACCCTGAGGAAGCTGCCTTTTCCCCTGTTGTTTTTTTTTTTTTACCTTCTAATAAAGCCTAAACTGCAGAAAACTTTGATCCCTATATCTTAAAAATTCTGAATATATGCATCATTCCTATTATCCTTTTTAACAATATCGTGAACATCAAATTGAAGGTTCAGTTTTACAGATGGGAAAGTTGAGGCATAAAGTTTACAAAGCTGTTAGGTAATAAGATTACACCGAAAACGGGCTGCTTAGCCTGTGATAACCATCATCCATGAAAACCATAAACACAGTGCTCTGGAGTCTCAGAAATGATTGGGGCAAGGAAGCATTATTACATCTGAAGCAGCTCTTGGGCAGGGCTGCCAATACTAAACTGCTTTCAATAGGCAGAGAAATCATCTGCAGGGCGGCTGGGGACTTTGAGCAGGTTAAACTGGGCACCCTGAAGGCAGAGCCCAGTGAGAATGTGCGGTCTCATCTAAGACTAAAGGAGAGTCGGGCAAGAAGTACAACCCGAGAGAGAGTTACAGAAACTCACCTCCGTGTCAGGGAAGAATTTTGAGAGGGTGCAGAAGTTTAAAGAGCCTGGGGGCCTGGGGTCAGTGCCCCATTTCAGCAAACAGGAAGCAACAATGGAGCCCGCGATTGTGGTAAAGAGAGGAAAGTAGAAGGCTGTAAGTGTCCTGGGGAATAGTTAGGAAGTGAGTTTCTACATAAGGTTTGCTGTCTAGTTCTGCAGAAAAAGGCATGGGGGAAACAGTTCAGAAAAAGACATCAGAAGATGAGGGAGGGCCAACTTAGGGTTCAGGACGAAGGGTACAAACATGCTTTTACAAACTTTGGTGTGCTAGCCGTTTTTCACTCCTGTGACGCAGCAACCAAAAGTAACTCTTGATAAACAAAAGAGGAGGCCTCCTTAGCCCACAGCTTCAGAGACAAGCAGTCCAGACGGTTCTGAAGCGGGCTGCAGTGTCTGCAGCACCGCGTGGCAGATGGGACCTCAGTGGCAGGAGCGGGTTCAAGAGGAAGAGACGACGCCACTAGGAAGTCATGGGCAAGGCCAGTCTCACAACCCCGTCTGTCCCTCCTCTTCCTCTTCACCTCCTTCTCCTTTTCCTCTTCCTTTTCCTCCTCCCCTCCTCTTTCCTTTTTCG